AACAAAAGCTCAGCTATTATACACCATTCGATAGAGAATTTCACGGGCTACAAAATGGTATATAAAACATTAAGGAACAAGAAGGCTAAGTCACCTATTGCAAAGATACTTAAACAAAAATCGCTTTTTACTTTTTGAAGTACACATAACACTCGGATTTAAATCCGAGGTTTCCACATTTATTTTGTTTGTTTCTACTCCTTGAGACGTTACCCTAAACCCTCAAGACTGTAGTGATGGTGCTGCCAGCCTACGCTTCTGTGTGGGCAGGTGCCCTGGGCACCTTACTCAGCCGAAGGGGAGAAAGTGTTAGCGTCAATAGAGGTCACTCTATTACCGCTAACTGTCCAGTTGTTATATAGTGATTTTCCTCCTTCTTCTCTATAGTCCATATGAGTATTTCCATTGGACTTTCCACTGTTTATCTAGATATATGTTTTTTCTCTGTTCAGTTGTTGTTTTTCTCTTCACCGGTGATACACATATCTGATATCCTATCCTATTGTTTATCCTATCTCTCTCCTCTTTTCTATTGTTAAATATATTATATTGTTATATTAGTGTTTATATTAACACTTATAAAATCTTTCATTATCTTCCTATTTCCCTTGTCAACATATCAATAACCGGTAAGAATGTTTTCCTTTATTTTACGTATGACTTCTCGTTCCCGTTGCAGACCGGGATCTAATTATAACTGTCTTCTGGCCTAAACCATAGAGTGGGGCTAGAGTCTAAGACATACTATAACGAGAGGCTTACACAATTGCTTGAATTACTTTTGATACGGTCGATGGCGTAGCCACTGGTCGTTGCCGAGAAAATTTAATTTTTTCAACTGAATTACATTGAAGACCAATATTTCGTTTAATGTTAGATACAGTTTGTTGAGATACACTGATTCCATCTTTTTTCAAAATCTTAACTATTTGTGGCTGAGTATTTTAGTTGCAAAAGAGCTAAAATACGTCCCTCCAGACCATCATCGATTTTTTTTCGTGGCATTACTTTAAACATAGGATGAACACATTAAGACATAGAGGGCAATCACTTCTATCACGTGATACTGTCAAACGATTTTTCTTTCTTTCCTGTGAAATACAGATGACATTTCAAAACTACTAAAAATAGATGAATCATTCTGTATTCTCCTGTAAGACATAAAAAATGACTATTCTAATTAAATTATGATATTCCATGGTTTCTTTATTAGACAAATTAAAATAAAAAACTAAACTGTGAGAACAGACAAAAAACAGATTTCAATCTGTGCTTCGGACAGAAATGAGTTATCGGTTTGAGATCGTAGCCACTTAACTTAGTAATTAGAAATTTTTAGAATCCTACATATATCTAAGAGTGTTTTTCTATATTCTCGATTATTGACACTCGAAGTTAAGTGGATATTTTACTAATATGATGTTCCATTAGCTTCAGCACAGATTCGATTATATGTAATATCGAATATGGGTTCTTGAATTTCTCCAGTTCGATGAAGATATGTTCTTGTAGAAATATAAGGTAGAAGTTGTTTAAATGCAGCACTGAGTCGTTTAGCTGCTTGAACTCTATTCAATCTTTCATATTCTTCATCTTGTGTTTGTGCAGTAGCCCATTTTAACGTCATATTTATATAATGTTCTGCAGCTTCTCTATGTTCTAATTTCACTTTATCCATGCCTTCTTTATCTTTTCGAAAAATGTTCACTTGTGTTTCATCTTCTTCCTTTGGCGGACAAAATTCAAAATCCATTTGATTACCTCCCAGTCGTTTCGGAAGAACTATTGGATTGATATATTCAACCAAATCTTTTGAACTTTTAACAAAATGAATCTTGCTTGATACCACTGGATCTGGCCATGGTTTGATTACATTCCAAACAGCATTAAACGTCCACGGAGCATTTACCACCAAAGCGATGCCCAAACTCTCAGGATAATGATTTTGCACAGTATTGATCATAAATTTAATGTGTTGATAATCTAAATTCTGTAAGCCAACATTGAGCACATCAATCACGATAGTTCCTTCTTCAAGAGGAGATTCGACTAAAAGTCTTGCAGTTTCAATGAAAAAAATGATTATTTTTTCCGTCGCTTCGAGTGGATACTGTCCTTTAATATGCTCTTTAGAATGAACGTAAGTAATAGGACGACCCGCTTTATCTTTACCCATCGAGTAAATCTTACCAGAAGCACATTCTTCTTTGATTAAATCGCTTTCACCTTTTTCGATTAAACTTTGAAGACCCCATTCATGTCGCCATTTAAGTGTGTCCATCATAGATTGAACGGCATGTGACACATGCCATTTACGAGCACGTAGCCATCGAAGAACAACAACATCTGGATTTTCTCGACCAAATAAGTAGAAAAGTTCGGCGCCCATTGCAGAATTAACCAGATTTGATGAATCTGTGTCTATAGAAGACATGAGTGCAAGCCAGTAAGCTTTCAAGCTTTCAAGTTGATTCCGATCAAGATTGTCTATGAATGGTAATGAATGTATTGTTGACAATAACAGTTGAAATGTGAAACTACTTACTTATATGTCCGTAATCGTTCGTCGTCATTTAGAAATCGGTGAAATGCGTTAAGAAAAAAAGACAAGTTAGCAATTAGAAATGAATCTGAAGTATCTGTTTAAAGAAGCATAAAATATAAATGTTTTTCAGAATATTTATTTGTTGATTAGTAATTGATTCAATAGAGCTCGTAGAGTTAAGTAGATCTACCCATATTCATGTGATCGTTCCGAAACATTGCCTTATCTTTGTACATATAAATGCAGACGTTGACAAGAATGCTCTGGATATTCAAAAACTACTGAATCGAATACCGAAAATATATGATTTTTCGACACTCCAAAATATCGGTTCCTATTGATTCTTCAAGATGTACGAGATCAGCATTGATACATCTATACAAAGCTGCTATCGAATCATACTGCATTCAAAAAAAATCTCAGAGCCGATAAAAAAATGAACTAGTTCGTGCTTTCTACAGGTTTCTAAGTTGAAAACGAATCGACTCAGCTTACATTTTACGATTCCTCAGCTTTTAACACGTTTTTTATCGATGTTTAAGTTACTGTAGCTGGTCTATTCTGCTTGCGGTTTTATTAACAGTTTGGGTGGCTTATACAATACAAACGCACGATAAGAGGTTCGGATTTTGCTAAATACAATTATAATGATCATTGGAAGTAAGTCAATCATCAGAAGTATATCATTTCTAAAGTGAATAAGTTTCACCTTGAAATTTGGAACTCACTTTTCTAGACTACTGTTAGTCGAATGTTACATACTCTGATCGATTTTTAGTCCTAAGTTCTCCCTAAAGATAAAAGAAAATATACGAAAAGATTCCGTTCAGCAGAGAATGTTATCTCCATAGTTAAGCTTTTGAAGCTATTATGAAAATTTCTAGATGCAAAGATACCTAACTATATGACCGTGTACTAATTGAAAAGTATTCAGATATGTTGAAAATAATCATTTTAGATGAGAATGAATTAAGCAAGATCAACTGTAAGTAGCGCGAATGGTTCAGAGCAGATTACCTAGAAAGCTCTACACTTGATTAAGCCGACCAATGACGAAATTTCAAAAGGCGGATAAAATTAAAAACTTTAGTTTGGAAAAAAATATTATTTCTCTGCTACAACATTTTATACATATTTAATAACTGCACGCCTATGAGTATAAAAAGTCATTTTCCAATTACAAAGACAGTAAGAAAGAGCAAGAGGCAGATATAAAGATAGACCATAGTTAGAACAGTGTAAAGAGAATACAAGATTCATAATTAATTGCCTAATGAGAATCACAGAAGTTTAAATTTTCAACTATAGTGATGACAAAAGAGATTTATCAAATCCAGTTTTCTAAAGCTACATAGTACAATATGAAAGCATGGCTAAAAGCAGTTGCTCTGAGTATTTTTCTTCTATTAAATTGTATAGATTTCATATATTTGATGTATCGGTT